TTTTTTTTTTTTTTTTTTTTTTTTTTTTGATGGCCAACTTTGATGAAACCGAGTAATCAATTACTCAGGTGACGTTTATCTTCGAGTAATTGATTGGTCGGTAGATCAGTGGCTGTGGTTTGTGTGAAACTGATTAAGGTAATTGTGATTGTGACTTAATTAATTGTATCTGGCGAAAGTTGAGGGAAAGTGTAGAAACATCGAACACATTCATTGCATGCAAAAGTTATTTTAGACGTCGAGAATAGAAACGAGGTAATTGAACCCTTGGTATAAAGAAAGTCAGAATATCCATTTACTGCATGATTCTGTTTTGTTTCCTTGAACCCTTGGTATAAAGAAAGTAAGAATATCCATCTAGTGCATGATTCTGTTTTATTTCCTTTCGTATAAGAGAAAATGAATTCAATGAGTTGAACAGTCCTTAGTCGTTTCTTAGTGTGGCTCCTTCATGAACATTATGCCTGCAACTCCGCATCTGGTTGCATGTAAGGTTGACGCGACAGATCCAGCAAATCCAACATCCTCGACTCACATCATCAACCTCTAATAGTTTACGGTTGGGAACTCGATTTTCCCGCAGTGTGCGGGCCTGCGGCCCATTTCCTTGACTCACTTCTGAGCGATTTGGCATTATCGATGGACTTTCATTTTCCTATTTTATCAGGAAGAGACCTACACAGCCTCTGGCCTATGTCCATTGCCTTGCGGCTTGAAGCCGCTCAATCATAGTAGAATCATACTGTAGTTACCTCCACTCTCAATCATTCAACCATGGAGATGCTAATATTGCTAATGACCCAGATAGTTCTAATCCTCAAATGTCATTCTTAGAATCTACTAATTGAACTAGGTGGAAGGGAGGTTGAGGGGAATGGTGATCGAAAGAGAATGAGGAAGAAGATGAAAAGGACGAGGAGAAACAAAATGATGATGCAGAGGAGAAAAATGTAGTCCAAGCCCCTGAAAATACGCGGGTTTCTTCTTGATCTACTAACTTTGGGAGGGGGCGGGTTGGGGGGGTGAGAGATGGGGTATGGGGGGATGGAGGGGGAGGTTGAGGGACTAGGAGAAGTTGCTGAACCGGTATTGGTCTAATAGGAGGAGGAGAATCGGA